CATGAGTGCAAGTGACAACAAGTTCCAGAAAGGAATTTGGTCTGTGAGTTCCAGCAAGAAATGAAGAAGACTGACAGCAAGTTCCAGAAAGAATCTTGGTATGTGAGTTCCAATAAGGAACGAATAAGAGTGACAACAAGTTCCAGTTGGGAACTTGGCCTACGGTTCTAGAAGTAAAACCTTTCCTCAAGATCCAGAATACATCAAGACTAAAAGATTCCAGAACAAGAGTTTCAATGAAGCAACATGAAAACGGAGAAATTACTCTAGGGTTCATGTAAGTATGTTGGACATAAAATTCAGTCTTGAATAAGTCTATAAAACCAAGGTGAACTCTAGACAGTCAATGAAATTAGAGTTATTGACCTGTCAGGAACTCAGAGACTGTTAGAGTTGAGTTCCGAACCTAATAGGAACTTAAGTCTGCGCGTCTTTAAAAGTCGGTATTAATGATATATAAATTTATCTAATACGTGCATATCTTTTAGGGATTTGGTTTTACAAAACAAAGATATTTATTTTTTAATAAATCCCTTTTGGAAAAAGATAAGTTTGTTTGGAAAGTATTTTAACTAAAAGATAAGTTTTGAATAAAATCTTATTTTATGGTAATTATATCTTTTTGTTATTGACGGAATTTATTCTTAACAAAAAGATATATTTTTTGAAAACTTATTTTTAGAAAATATATTTTCAACATATAATTTGATAAAACTTATCTTTTACGAAAAGAATTATTTGGGTGTACTATAAATATGTTCATATGTATTCATTCAAAGTCGAGGCTGACGAAGTACAGTGGTCATGCTTGATGGTTTCATCCTTCACCACGAAGCTAAGTCAGTTCTCCTGGTCAAGGTTTGGTTTCAGTTCGTCTAGTTAGTTCCAGACAAATCTTGAGCGTCCAGCATATTAGTTTTATCTCTTTATTCACATATATGTATTTATAATTATTCTTTGAGATCTTGTAAAGGGAAAAAGGGTTTTTAGTGTTTTATGTATTAGGGTTTGAGAGTTCGTGAGGATTCTCATTATTATAATTATAAGAGTGCAAAGTGTGAGCTTCTAGTGTGAAGCCGAGTGAGCTTCTACTGAGAGGCCGTGTGAAAAGTACTCTAGGAATGCTGAGTGGAATATAAGTTCGGGACTTAGGTTGGATAGGATAGGGTCCTATCGTGTAGCAAGTTCAATCAGGAACTTGTGAGAAAGGTCTGATTGTAATAGATTGTAATTAGGATTATTTTGGCCTATTATAGTGAAGTTTTTGAGTTGAAAATCCCTTAGAGGGTCGAGGTTTTACTTCCACTTGGGCCTTGGGCACCCCCTTACCCAAAACCACCACTTTTCCCTCCATTGTTCTTGGGCACCCCCTTACCCTCTTCTCTGTCAACCCTGCCCATCGACTAACCGAAGTGCCACAATAGTAGCCCGACACCCCCACCTTTCTCGCTCAACACCTGTTGATGTCATTTGCTACTTAACACTACCAAAGCACCACCCCCTCCTACCAGTTCAAATATGAAAATGCACTTGCCACCATCATCGTCCCCACAACCTCTGAATCCCTGTCTTCCCACATAATGTAGCCTCTCCATCATCCCTCATCACCACTATTTCTTCTGGATGAAATCTTTCTCATACGTGAACATCTTTGGTAAGGAAAAACAAGGTTGTATGGTGGGTTTTGGGGGAGTCAAGGTGAGGGTGGGGTAATGGGTTTGGGTTTTCAAGGTGGATCAGGGTTTTTAGGGTGGTGGGTTTAGATTTTTGGGGTGTTAGGTGGTTTTTTGGGGTGGTGAGTGAGGGTAGTCGAGGTGGTTGTGTGGGTTTGAGGTGGTGGGTCTAGGTTTTTGAGGTGGTGGGTGGGATGGTTTTGGGGGTGGGGTTGTGTAAGGTGGCGATGTGAGTTGGGTGGTGGTAGTGGTGAGTCATCAATGGTTTTGATTGAATGTTTATGAGGTAAGTTAGTAATTATATTTTATACCTATTAAAGTTAAATAATGAAGTAGGAAAACATGTATGGGTTATTCATTTGATTAAATAAGGTCACTAAATAGATTTATATCATATTAGAAGGTCACTAGAAACTAAGGCCAAATTTGTTTTCCATCAAGTAGAAATTTCAAATTTTAGATGTTGAATTTTCCTTAATTTTAAACTCTGATTCTTGACAAGATATAAGAAACAACTAAGTTATTTCCATGCGATGCACGATTAAAATTAATCTTTCTTGTAATTTATATTTTGTTGCATTATATTGTATTTGAAGATTAGAATTAGATATAAAAATAAGTATATTTAAGGAAAGTAAAAAAAATTAAAACCACATCAAACAAATTAGGTATGTAAAACAATAATTTAGAAGAGTAACTTGGTTAATTGAATTTTATATCACACTTATGCAATGCATTGAAGTCAAAAGTGCAAATTAAAAATAAATAAAAATAAAAAAAAATCATTAATTATTGAAGACATCACACATGGAATTAGAAAGAAAATATTTATGTGAGAATAACAGGTAGGATAGTTTGAGGATTGATAATGTTAGCAATATATTATTTTAGTACTCCCTCCGTGTTTTAACAAGTATTACACTTACCAAATCCGGCCGTGTTTTAATAAGTGTTACACTATCTTTTTTGGCAAAAAGCTAGCTTTGAATATTATATCTCTCTCTTCTCATGGTCCCCACCCAAACCCACTATTACTTTTTTTATTATATACTTCTTCTCACATTCATTACTTTTCAATAAACTATTAATCCCACTATATTTCTTTTACAATTTTTTAATACTCTAACTACCCCACTTACCTCTTATTTTATTTAATTCAATTAAATTGCCTAAAACTATGTATCGGTCAAACTGTAACACTTATTAAAACAGGAGGGAGTAATAGTTAATAGATTTGCAATTATCTACCATATGCTATAAGCTGAAGTGTCAAAGAATGAAATGAAAGCAATACGTTTCACTCATCTGACCGATCTGAGAAATTGTAGTCTTCATTCCTGTTATTGATTTATCTTATTTTGACAGTAGAAGGGCTCCCAAGTATTTTCAATTTTTTTTTTTTTTTTTAATTAAGCTTGATATCTATTTATTTGCAATTCTAAATCCATTAGTATTATTCTTTCTTCAATCTTTAGCAAATAATATGAGTACCAAGTTCAACCCATTAATTTCCTTTTGACATATTTATAGAGCTGTCAATTCGTGTAAACAGGTTGAGTTTGGGTCGGGTTAGTGTAGGTTAGGTTAACTCGGGTCGGGTCAATACGGGTTAATGTCGTAATCTATGCGGGTCGGGTTCGGGTTGGGTCATGCTTAAGTCGGGTCATACATCTTATCGGGTTTGGGTCAAGTTTAGGTCGGGTTAATAACAGGTCGAGTGATTAATAGGTCGGGTTTAATTCGGGTTTTTCACGGGTTAAAACGAGTTAGGGTCATTCTTGGGTTTGAGTCGGGTTCGGTTCAAGTTAATAATTTACGGGTTATAATCAGGTCGGGTTATTCTCAAGATTTAGTCGGGTTCAGTTCAAGTCAATGATTTGCAGGTTATAATCAGGTCAGGTCATTTTCAAGTCAGGTCATTCTTGGGTTCGAGTCGGGTTCAGTTCAAGTCAATAATTTGTGGGTTATAATCAGGTCGAGTCATTTCCAAGTCGGTCATGTTCGATGTTCGGGGTTCGGGTCTCAAATATTGGGTTAATCTAGGTTTCGAGTTGATTTCAGATCGGGTCATATTGGGTCCGGGTACATTTTTTGGATCAGTTTGTTAACAGTTCATGTATTGACGTTCACGTTTAATTATTATGAATGTCTTCATTTATTATAGTTTTAGCCTTACGAAGTTACGACTTTACGAGTAGCTTAGAATATATTTAACATATATTCTCTAATTATTGTATATATCTTTATTTAGCTAGTCAATGTCTACAATAATAAAGATATATACAATAATTAGAGAATATATGCTAAATATATTCTAACAATTAGAAATGAGCAAATAGCTATAATTAGTCTATGTAAGGAGTCGTATGTATTGAACTATTGACTATTGAACTTATCATAGTAACTCGTTTGCACAAGCACACAACTACACAAGAGACAACGTAACTATATAACTATGTATTAATAAGGTGGTCTAAATTGAATTTAAAGTGATTTGAAATCGAGTCAGGTCAATAACAGGTTAGGTTGAGTTCGAAATGGGTCAGGAACAATTCGGGTTGAATTTGGGTCGGGTCAATAACAAGCCGTGTTGATTTCGAGTCGGGTTAGTTACAAAACGGGTTGAATTTCGGGTCGGGTTAATAACAGGTCGGGTTAAATTCAGGTTGGATTAGTAACAAGTCGGATTGAATTCAGGTCAAGCTAGTAAGAGGTCTGGTTAACTTCGGGTTTCAACAGGTCAAAACGGGTTTGGGTCAATCTCGGTTTAGGTCGGGTTCGGTTCAGGTCAATAATTTACGAGTTATATTCAGGTCGGGCCATCTCTAGGTCCGTTCATGTTCGGGTTTTGGTCTCAAATACTCGGGTTTAGGGTTGATTTCGGTTCGGGTCATGTTGGGTCGGGTCACCATTTTTCCGGGTTCAAACATGTCAGTTAATAATCGGGTTCGGGTAAATTTTTTTAATCTGGTCAGTTTTTGACAGCTCTACATACTTGTATCTGTAAAATTATTTTAAAATAAATTTATATCTATATAATATAAGACGAACAAGAATCGCACCACTATGTTTTTCCGTAATATGGCAATACTTTAGAACATTTCATGTACTCCGTATCAAAGAACTAGAACTACTCTCGGCACAATGCTTTAAGTACGAACGCTATGCTTTGGCGATGAGGAAAAAGATGATGCTTTGTGCTGCTACCATGATTCATGAAATTAAGGGATTTTGCTAAACAACAGCCACTTTCTAATGTTTCTAGAATTGAGCCATAAAAATAAGCAGTACAACGTAATAATTCATTCATTCTAACCAAGACAAGGCTTCAAGCCATAAGGGTAATTTCTATTATCACAAGATTAACTGCAGAACTTCCCGTTTAGCATCCTATTTTATAAGTAGCACAAGTCCTAATCCTTTATTTAGCATTGAAACATATGCCTTCTCAGACTACCAAGGTAACAAGTTCTACAAGAAAATGATGAGTTATATACAAGTAATAGAAAAGTCCTCTCATACAACATCAAAAGGCCCAACATCCCACCTAGATTTCCGCTTCCTTCGCCTCTCTCCAGTCCTCCCTTTCAGAACAGGTGCATGAGTTAATAGAATAATATCTTCATCATCACTGGGACCAATCCAACCAAAGCAAGGTCTGCGTGTACTGGGTGCAATCTTTTCCTGAAGAACATGCTCAAATCCGGGTGGAATAGGAAGTGTATACATTGAGGGGAAAGGTAAAATATTTTCCTGATCTACGAGGATATCATTAGTCTGGTTTACTTCCATTGGCGTAGCAATTTGGCTTGGGCTCTTCGCACTCTCAGCAAGTGATAAAGAACGCTTATGCACTGTAAATACAAATTAAAGACATAGTAAGCACCAAACCAACAAAAAGTAGTTCACGCCTGTAACTTATAGCACAGAAGGTTAACTCTTTTTTATGGTAAACACTATTCATAAGACCCAGATGTGGAATAATTAGCAGTTTTAGCCCAAAAAAGTCTGCATTCAGGATGAGATTATTAAGGCTAAATTACATTATTGACTAGGTAGGATGAGCATAAATTTGATTTATGAAACTGAAACAGACAAATAAGCAGAAAGATGTGCAGCAAATTGCCAGGCTAATGAATCTGTAGGTAAAATCAACAGCTCTTTAAATGAATCGATGCAGATGTGTATTCAATAGATTGATGCCTTGTTCGAAATGGAAAATCCACGATACCCAATCATTATATGTACAACTATAATTCAATAAGTCCATAACTACTGAAATCAGAAACAAAGCTTGATGAAGTCTAGTTCAGCACTTCAGACACCCTCCTATAATGGGAAGAACCTATTTACTCAATTATCTGGTGGCATTAAATGAAGTGAATGGTGTCTAGCAGCCACTTCTCTAATTTTTAAAACTGAACAGTCAACAGATACATGAAAATGTGAGCTGAGCATTGCATCACCTTTAATATTACTATAAAATAATAGAGTGAAAAGCTGGCTCGACAAAGGCAAGAAGGTATAAAAGATACCATTTGTCTTTTGGGTACAAGAAAGTTACCACATTGAGGAATATAATAAAAGCAGAACTCAAGAAGGAAGCCACTCTAGATCTCACCACCTGAGAATCTTTTCACAAGTACACTCCACACTAGAAAAATAATAGAGAAAATGAATCTAAGTTATTCAACCACTATGGCAGTATTACTCTGCGGCGTTAGCTAAAAATTTGAAGGTGAAGATACCCTAATGAATTCTTTCCCTTTCTGGCCAACCACACACCCAAGATTCTCATTGACAACAAAAATTCCGTTAAACAAATACAACCACCAAACAAACACAATAGTATTTTTAAAATTTGCCCCCCATGGCCCTTGGCTGAGATGGGTACCAAGTGCCTAATCTGCAATTTGCTTTAAATTAATCCAAGACATCAGACCAAACAAAAGCTATACTTATATAGTTTCCAAGTCAATGTAACATTGAAGAGATGCTTGGATGTGATGCTTTGTTTCAAGGTGCTTATAAATTGAGTTATGAGTGAATACACAAGAAGAAACAATTGTCAACCACTCTTAAAACAGGTCTAAAATTCCCAAATCAAGTAGAACAAAATAAAATCAAACAATAGAATTAAATACTCTCTATTACGAAAATATTAAATAAAAGCCATTTCAACGCAAAAGATAGAAAATGGAAGATAGAAAATGGAAGGCCTCCCCCAATAATCCTCCTCGTAGAAAATGTTATCTTATTACCAACTGAACCAGAACAAGCCAAAGAAGAGAAAGAGATATGGCTCATGAATCTCAAAATGCTCATATAGAAAGCATGTGTTCCACAAAACACCCTAGAAGCTTCCCAAGTACAAAATTTTGAAAGCCACTTATCATATCAACAAGGAGTTCTTTCGACATGCCAAACTCCTAAGCCACAAGCTCCACACGGCCCAACCCCGCCCCCACACCCACTCTCCTAATTAGATGATCCTCTATTTTATTTTACTCCGAACCGGAAATTCCTCCATAAAATTCATGCTAATAACAATCTGAATTAAAAAGAAAAAAATCCAATGCTTACTCACAACAGCTTACATCCAGCCCGATATTAAAGAATATGAACAAATATACACATGGACTACTCCGTAATAATTTATAAAATACTCCATATAAAACATTCACTATATCCTCATCTCAGAAGCAAAATGTATGATTAGTCTGAAGACAACACAGAAAGAGATCCTCTTACCTACAACAGGATCAGGGCTTGCCAAAGGAGGATCAGTTGGAGTTTCCAAGAGAGTACTATGGTTAGAGCATGAGGACTCACTGGCTTCACCAGAAGGTCCAGCCTCCTCCGGCTCATCCTCCTCACCACCTTGACATCCATCTTCAATCAGCGATTCCTTCAAATCATACAAATAAACCTTATCATCAAACAGTCATCTCCCAGCAAAAGCAAAACTCTTTCAGCAAAGATAGCTTCTCAACAAAAATAAAAAGATATTTGCTTTACAATTTACATACTATAAAGCCCTAAATCCTCTTCCAAAACAACCAACAAAATTGGCATTACAACAGCGAAAGCAGCTATTAGAGCGTGCCAATTACACGATCATCATTATGACCAACAGTAATAAAACATCAAAATTACCATTTTGTAAAAGAAATCAAGGGAAAAAATTCAAGAAATGAAGAACAAAAATAACAAGAAATTGGGTACCGTGAGAGGAGGTTCCACTATAAACTCAATCAGCAACTTGTAAGAGGCCTCCTCAATAAAAGGCCACCCTTCTTCACCATACTCCTATAATCACCAAAAATCAAACAACTCATAAATTAATTGATTAAAACGGACATAAAATTGCAATAAAATAAATCATAGAATTTGAGTAATAATTTCTTGGAATAGACTTACTTTGAGCAATTTATCAACATTCCGACGAACAATTTCAGGCGAAAATCCCATTGGTTTTAAAGCATCAATGGCAGCATCAATACGTTTGAGACCCACCTTCAAATTTGCAAGAAATTTGTACAAAAAATTAGGAAAAAAAAACCCAAGAAACAGGGAAAAACCCAGTTGTAAATTACAAGAAAAGGTTGAAATGGAAGTAAGTTAAGCAAGAGAAAAGCACCTTGCGAGGTCTTCCTCCACGTCGAGCCATGGATTTTGCAGAGAAATGAGTAAACTTCGAAGAGAATGGTTGTTTGAGATTTTGGTTGGGAAAGGAGGTGGACGACGGGAAGCAATGATGAGTGACTGAGTGAGTGAGAGTCTGCAACAAAAAAATTAAAAATAAAAAAGTGACTGAGCGAGAGAGGAGAGAGAAAGAATGAGAATAGGGGAAATGATACCAAAGTACTAGTAGTAAGTCAAAACGGTTTGAAAGTTAGGTTTCGGTTCGGTTTGAAAACGGGCTGGTTTAAAACTGGTTTAAGTGCTTTACGGGTCGGTATTGGTTCGATTTAAATTATTATCGGTTTGGTTTGATTTCGGTTTATTCTTGAGCAAATTTAATTCGATTCATGTTGTTAACGATTCGGTGCAGACGGGTTACTGTTTGTTGACAATTCGGTGTAAACGGTTTTTATCCCGATTCAAACAGTTTTGGGTTAGTAACAGTCGGTTCTTTTCGGCTCGGTTTTATTTCATTTCGATTTAGAACGGGTTCGGTTCTTATACAATTTAACATTATTCGGATCAATTCAGTTTTGGGTTTATTAAAATACGGTTCGAGTCTATTTTGGGTTTTAAAAAATTGGTTGGTTTCTCATTTGGATTAGTTGGTTTCGAGCAGTTAAACCTTTTTGGTTTGAAATTTGACTTTATTATAATTGATAAATTGATTAATAATATTCTTTATTATAATTTTTGTATTGACTTTAATTTGTTTTTGAAAGATCAAAGGATGCAATCATCTCATTCTAAAAATTTTGAGAATTGCAATAATACATCGTAAGAATTTGAGTAGGCCATTTTTGGTCCAATATAATTCCGAGCAAAATACAAAGCACTTTGATGATGTCATTTAAAGAGAGGCGAAGATTATTTTTGCTTAATCCATAATTACATAAAAAAAGTCAGGGAAAACAATAATGTAATATGTAGTAAACATGTGCACATAATTAGATTTCATTTAAAATTCTTTTTAACGTGATTTTAATCTTCTCTTTATAGTATGCGATTCGATTCAAAAACATTTTGGTTTATAAACGGTTCGGTTTGCAAGTGGTATTCGGTTTATTAACTGTTCGGTTTGTACACGGTTTGGTGCAAACGGATTGCAGTTTGTTAACGGTTCGGTGTAAACGGTTTTAATCTCGGTTCAAACCGTTTTGGGTTGGAAACGGTTTCGGGTTTGAAACGGTTCGATTCTTTTTCGGTTCGATTTTATTTTAGTTCGGTTTAGAACTGGTTCGGTTCGGTTCGTTAACGGGTTTGATTCGTATACTGTTTAAGTGTTTAACATTATTCGGATCGGTTCGATTTTGGGTTTACTAAAATACGGTTTGGGTCGGTTTTCGATTTCAAAAAATCGGTTTTTAATCGCTTCGGTTCTCATTTAAGTCGATTGATTTTCATTAAGTCTATTGATTTCGGACAGTTAAACGGTTTCGATTTGAAATTTGACAGTGTTACCAAGTAGTATTAAAGTCGTTGGGTCATCTCAAATACTCCGTACATAAAATAATTATCTTAGGAAAATTATTATGGAGTACGGAATACAATTAGGGGTGCGATTTCAAATAACTGACGTTTATTATGAATTTAATTACGTTAAATTATTGCGTTGACTACTAGTAATCTGTGTACGCGATACGAGCCAATAGTTAAGAGATTCGTATATTTCAATTAAATACGAAAAAATATGAAAAATAAATTAAAAGTTAAGACTTCTTAATAAAATACATCAAATACAGAAATTTCTGTAACAAATATAATAATTGTGTATGCCCATTATGCCTTGTAACTCCCTTAATATTTATGACTCTCTTTGTAACCTCCTTGTAACCCCCTATATGCCTTTACTTGAATTACTTCACATTGAAACCCCTATATAAATAGAGTCTTTATGTCCATGTAGGTTACATTGTTCTCATCATGTATATATAGCATGGTCTAATGAATGGGAAGTACAACAAGAATTCACCATCTACATCTCTCTCTAATATTCTCTCTTTCCCTTATTTTATAACAATTCAGTTTTTAAACATTACTAGTTTTTTGCCCAAGCATGCTCGGATATTAACAGGAAAAAAAAATTATATTTATATATTAGTATAAGTTAATATTTGTTTATAGATTATGTATACATTTAATAATTTATTTTTCCCTCGAAAAAAAAAATATTTTATTTATCTAGAGTTATTGTTATTGTTCTATTATATAGGTTGTATATTCTCTCCTTTTTTCTTTTTTTTTTAATCGATTATCTTATTATTTTTTAAGGAAAAAAATTTGAAAAAAAAAGTTTTTGGCGGGAAATTTTTTATTGTGGACGCGACATGTGTACTTTTGGGATAATCTTGGTGATTAGTTTAGTATATAGTATTTATTGATTTAAATGTACATAAATAATTTCATGAACATGATTAGTAAAGATTATCTATAACTATATACTAAAGGTGAACAAAAAGTGACACATGTTAACATTTGGTTAAAAAATTTCCCGTCAAAAAATTTGTGGTATTTTTTTGCCAAAGAATTTTAGGAAATAATTTATTCACTATAATTTCTTTCTTCCTACTCTAAATCTTCCACATATTTTATATAAAGAAAAAATAATAATTTGAATGTAATGCAATCTTTTCCTTCCAAATCAATAAATCTTTTCACAATTACTTAAAGAAAAAAGAAGCAGATATTATTAAAAGAAATTCCATATTGTATATCATACTAGTACAACTTAAAACTTACCATTGTATCTAGAATATTTTAAAGAATATGGAACTTTGTCATACTTTTTAGAAAATAATACTTTGTAAAAAATTTATTGAATTATAAATTGTTGAAAATCTTTATAAAATATGCTAAAATCGTGCATTGCACGAAACTTAAAGCTAGTTAATGATAAAAAGCATACTTTATATCTGTATTAGAAAGATTAAAATGTATTTTATGAAAACTAATAATAAGGAAATTTCATCAAAAACTCCATTGTAAACTACCTTTTTTTACGAGAAATACCTTATTAAAAAATTTTAGCAAGAGACTACCTTTTAAACGAAATTTTTTGCAAGAAGATTGTAATACCCCTAAATCTTCCTCTACGTACTCCCTCCATTTTTAAATATTTGCTCTATTTCTCCATGCGTAGAGTTTTAGGAGAAATTGGAGAAAGTAATAAAATATGGAGGTAGTGGGGTTGGTGGAATAATAAAAAATTGTAAAAAGCTAAAGTTGTTGAAAGAATTGGAGGAGAGAGAATAAGAAATTATTAAAATATGATTTATGTTGGGCTCTCTAGGTGAGAGAAATGATTTAAATATTGTAAAAGCTTTCCAAATAAGGAAATAGAGCAAGTATTTAAAAACGTTCGGAAATAAAAAGTGGAGCAAGTATTTGAAAACGGAGGGAGTACTATAATAATGTGTATACATATACTGTAGAGATAGAGTTGTTCGCACTACCGCCACGTGAAAATATAAAGCTTACTAAGCACTACTAAATTACTCAAAATGGCAGTGGAATAAACCGATTTTTATTAAAAATGAGGGAAATCATAATATTGTTTTAGAGTACTTTTAGAAGTTCGATGTAGAAACCATTTAACTTATAAATAAATAAACTCTTATTCTAGATGATCCAATTCCCGACATCTCAATGTGCATAATGACTCCACACTTGAAATCAAGATTGCTTACCATAAATGGTAAACCAGACGAACCAAAAATCAATAGGATTACGCGTTAGCAAAATTTTAAGTACGTATAAGTGCAACAAATGTCAACACTTTTATTAGGCAAACATGCTTTCGAAATATTTAACTCTTATTCAAACATGCCAAAATAGAACTTTTAAGGTTCACAACTTTCCATATTTAAACTTTCCACTTAAAGATTTTCAAATACAGCAATGTTCCAATATAGAAACTTCCACTTAAGTAAATTTCCAGATATTTAAACTTTCAAATGTAGAAATATCAAGTTTCCAAATGCAATTCATCTCCTAAGTGTGCACCCCTCCTAAGCTAATATCTTTATTTATATCTAAGAAAAGGTTAGATCATTTAAAATCCATAGCCTTACTTAACCAATCCCAGATTAAGGGAACAATATATATTCAATACTTAGGTTCATAATGTGATTCAAAATAATTAATCTCTTTATTTCAACAACTTGTAAATCAAGTAATTCATAAACCACTTTTATTAAATTACTTAACACCTTTGAAGATCAAACCCTTTTAATCTTGAAATTTTTAACATAAAATTATAAATTCAAATATTAGTTCAACATTTATTCAAACAATTATATCAAAACATGCATATACCAAAGGTCTAGCGACCTATCATACCTTGATCACGACAATCAAAGTTCACACTTGATCACGATCAAGATGAGAGACTCCTCCTACATAATTGGAATAACCTTGATTAATATAAGATTAATAAATAATCACAGAATTATACATACTACTCTGCTTATACATGAATTACCGAAATAATAACTTATAAAAAAACAAAACTTTATTTCTATTAGAAAAATAATTTATGTTAGTTTCATAATAATATTCGTAACAAAGATTAATGGTGAGCATCATTTATGGCACTCATGTGGTAGTTGTTTCGGGGTTTTTGGAGTCCCCCGGGAGAGTTACAATTCCAAGAATGGGTGCCAACCGTTTGTACCTGCAAAACCACGGAAACTCCGGTTGGGTGGAGTTCTGCCTCCAACAATCAAGTTAGTATGTGTACGGATGGAGTTGAGTATATGCAGTTAATATTACTCTGGTTTGTGAGAATGTTTCTGAATGTGCAATTAAAGGGGATCTCTCCCTATTTATAAGGTTTGAGGATCAACTCCTCTTTCATGACTTGGACTGCCACGTGTCGTTAGAGGATTGGTTCTTTCAGAACTTTTCTGAGGCTGACACGTGTCAGCATGCAATTGGTCCACGTGGACCGGGGTATTTTTACCCTAAACAGTTGCCCCTCATAGGTGTGACGTGGCTTGCCACATGGCACCTGTGACAAGTGTCACCATCTGAGAAGGCGACGATTCGCCTCCTTCTCTCTCTCTCTTTTTTTTTTTGGATGCGACGATTCGCCTTCTGGGGGATTTCTTCTATAAGTAGAAGTCCACCCCCCTCATTTTACTCATTTCATACTTTGAGAAATTTTCTGAGAGAGAGGAAAAAGAGCTCTGAGACCGGCTGCCATTTCTTTCATAACCTCCTACCCTTTCTTCATTCAAACAGCTACCGCTTAGGTACCCGTTACTCTAAACTTATTAGCACCGTCTGAGCATACTTTAATTGCTTCCCTCTGCTTTCAATACACCCACATTCGGTCAACCGTCTGGGGTATCATCAAGCAAGACTTCAAAGAAACGCCTGGGTTCTTCAACAATTTTT